TCAGTTTTTTTAATTCAAAGAAAGATTATTACATTATTATATAAGACAGAGTTATTTTACAACTGGACTGGTCCAGCCCTATGCTTATCTCTGGGGTTGCCAGTCTAGTACTGATTCTTTTTACTTACTAATGTGAAACATTAGGAAAACATCATCACAAACAACAAGCATAGTCACAGATACTCCATCTTTGTAGGTGTTAAGTGATATAAGACTATAGGATATAAGACCAAATTTGGCAATAAATTCAGGACTTAAAAACATTCTGAGATATGATTAAAAGAAATAATAATTTGATTAAAAGAAACTAAAAGAATTATACCATTCTAGAAAGAACTGTGACCTCCAGATAAACAAAAGGAGAAACAAAATGGACCCATGCTTAAGTTCATTTTGCTATATAAACCATACCAAAAAGGAATTGTTAAAATTTAACATGAAAAAGGAATAGTATAGAAAAATAATATATATCTCACGAAGGTTAAATTATTAAGATTTTTGCTTGAAGCTATATCTATATATATGTGGTATTATCAACTAGGCACATACATAAGACCATTATACTACTAGAGTTATACCAATAAAATAAAAAGGGAGAGTCACAGATATAGAATTACCATACAAATACCTGACAACTGTGTTGGTGACATTTCACCACATATTTAAGAAGGGATGTAAATTTGGAGAGGGAAGCTATGATTGGAACAGAGAATGCTTTCTGTGGTAGAAATTAACTCATCTCTGGAGTGAATCCAGACTACATAGAATAACATAAGTTACAGTTATTTAAAATCTTAGAACCCTAGAGAGGAACTTTTTACATTTATAAACTTAAAAATTCAGGAAGTGTGCATTTCTAGTATTCTGATTCTTATAACTATGATTCTACATATTTTGGTATGCTGTATGAGTGATATAGTCAGGCACATGAATTGCTAAAATTCTGATAACTATAAGTGGAAAATGCAGTGCATCATAAAGGATCACACTCAACTGACCTATAAAGGACTTTTAAATGCATAAATTAAAACATTTAATAACTTTTGTGGATGTTGTTAACAGGGCAGGATTTAAAAACAGAGCACTGATAAGAGACCATCTTGGAAGTTTTTCTTTGAAATAATGAAAGCAATACGTAATTTGGAAAAGCAGATGTTTGTATAATAAGAGGGGAAAATACTTAAAGAAAGCACATTTAATAATTAAGGCAGGTCAATTGTGAGATTTCCAATAACAGTATCTTCAACTATTATTACTTATGTCATATTCAATTTTCTTCCAACTCAAATTGCATTAAAAAAAAAGAGAAATCATTTCTCAAGATAAACTGTTCATATATAATTTGTTAACTATTCTACAGTTGAAGTAATTTTATGACCAGATATTATTCTCATTCTTCTAATTTTGCAAGCAAATGTTTCAGTATTTATACACATTAAAAAATGGAAGTTCATCATTCTTTTAAATTAGATCTGCTATCCACAAAGGCACTTATGGTACAAGGAACACAATTTTGGAAATTTACCAGAAAAAATAAATAGAGAAACACTGCCAGCTAGAAGTCAAAGCAGTATTCCCTTTTTAATTTTCAGAACATACGAACATTTATTCTGAACATTACATGTGTTACGTTTCCCTCTGAAAGGTAACTATTTGTAAACAGATTTTGTCTGATATGTCAGCACCATCTCTTTTGCTTGGATAAAAACATTTCTAAAGCTATGTTTTATATATGCCAACACAGAGGATAGGCAATGATAGATACTCTAACAAAATCAACAGAAGAACCCAAGAAGAAGTGTGGCTGGGATTATATAAGTCATTTTGCTAAAATTAATCATAAGAAAATTTAAGAGAACAAAATTAGTCAATGGAGAATTCTAATCTCTACTATTTATTCAAAATCTAAAAAATCTAATACCGATCTTGTACTTAAAGGTCACTCTAAGTACTGCCAAAAAAATAATGCAAATTGCCAGGTCAGTCCTTGGTGCCCTCCCCTTCTCCCTTCAGCTCTTCTTTCATTTGTAAACATTTACTTAAGCACCTATTATGCTACCACATGCCGGTTACTGGATCAGGTGCTACAGATACAAATAAGTAAGGCAAAGTTTCTGCTAACAAGAAATAACATATTAACGGCAGGAAGCAGGTCCAAAACGAAATTATTACACCACACATTAAATGCCATGACATCTATATGCTCAGGTGTTATTGGGAACATGGAGTAATAATATATATTGGATAGGAGTTGGGAGTGGAAAACTGAAGAAAGATGGTGGTAGTAGTAGTGACAGAATACGTAACTGAATCTTAAAAAATCCATCGGAGTCTTTCATATGTAAGAGAGAGGAGATTACAGGCAGAATAGTCAATATGAGCAAAAGCAGAGAGGTGAAACAACTGGAATGCATCAGGTAATGATAAAGTCTAATGTTGCTAGAACAATATATACAAGGCTACAAGTAGTGGGAAAGAAAGCTGGAGAAATTGGCCATGGTCAGATCAGGAGGGTCTGGACTTTGTTTTATAGGTAAATGGAGTCAAAGGAGTGATATGATCAGATTTGATTTTTCAGGTAGTTCATGTCCACCTTATAGGTAACAGAATCAAAGTAAGTGATTTTCAGTTAATTTACTTTGGTGGTTGTGTGAAAAACAGACTTGGAAAGGACAAGATAAAAAGCAGAAACAAGACTTACATTTGCATTAATCTAAGTCAAAGATAATGAGGACTGCCAAGGCAATACTAAAAAAGATGAAAATCAAATCCGGGGATGAGAAATTTAGGGTGGGGGAAGGGAAATGGGAAGGATTCCTCTCAGCTTTCTAGCTTAGGTTCCTGTGCATGTAGTGAATATTCTGGACAACTTTATACCAATAAATTTGAAAAAGATAAAAGCCATAACTAAGGAAAACAGATTAAAGAAGAAAGAGAAAGCTTAAAAAGTCCTATAGTATTAAATACAATGAAGTAGTAGTTAGGGGTGCCTACATCACACAGTGAGTTGAGTGACCAACCGTTGGTTTCAGCTCAGGTTTGCGGTATCAAGCCCTGCATTGGGCTCCATGCTCAGTGAGGAGTCAACTTGGGATTCTCTCTCTCTTTCTCTCTGCCCCTTCCCATTGTTCTCTCTCTCTTTCTCAAAAATAAAATACGTAAATCTTAAAAAAAAAAAAACACATAATGAAATAGTAGTTGCAAAAATCTACATGAGTATCAGGTCTGGATTCTTTTAATGGCAAGTCCTACTACATATTCAAGGAACAGATAATTCTAATCTTCCATAAACTATTTCAGAAGTTAGAAAAAGAGGCTACTCTTCCACATTTTATTTCTCTATTTTATTTTGCTAAAATATTTAGTCACTTAATGACTGTATCTTTGTAAAGACTTCTCCTATAAATAAATCACAAATTAGAAATTATCATGCTAAGTCCTGAGGATATATAAAAACTGTAAGACATGAATCCTGCCTTTAAGAAGCTTTGTAATAAGTTTTGAAATCAAGATATGTGAGTCCTCCAACTTTGTTCTCTTTTTTCAAGATTGTTTTGGCTACTCAGTGTCCTCTGAGATTCCACATGAATTATAGGATGAGTGTTTCTATTTCTGCAAAGAATTTTGGATTATGATAGTAATTTCACTGAATCTGTAGATTGCTTTGGAAATATTATCACTTTACCAATATTAAGTTTTCCAATCCATAAACACAGAATATATCTTCATTTATTTAAATTTTCTAAAATTTCTCAAGCAATATTTTATGTTTAATGTACTGGTCTAAGTTTAGTGTACTGTTTAGTGTTCAAGTCTTTTATCTCCCTGGTTAAATTTATTTCTAAGTATTTTATTCATTTTGATGATATTACAATAGGATTATTTTCTTAATTTTCTTTTTGAATTGTTCTTGATTAGCATGTAGAAATGCAACTGGTTCTTGGCTGTTCATTTTATATCCTGCAACTTTGCTGTAAAATATATTCTTTTCATTGGGGCACCTGGCTGGCTCAGGTCATCATCTCAAGATCTTGGGACTGAGCTCCACATCAGGCTCCCTCCTCAGCGGGGAGTCTGCTTATCCCCTTTCCTCTGCCCCCACTACACTACTTATGCTAGTGAGCACTCTCTTGCTCTCTCTCTCAGATAAATAAAATCTTTAAAAAATATTCTTTTCATCTACTTATTTTAAATAAAAAATTCACATGTTGATATATATGCATTTAAGTAGTAGAGATATATTTATTTGCCATGGTATTAATATCTGCTATACCATCTAAATAAATATTTTGCTTTGATAACTTTTAGAAGGAAGCCAAATGAGGAAGAAATATTTTCTTTATGTCTGGCCTTTTCAGCTTTTGTCATTTTTTGACCAACCTCTCCTTCATCCCTTCCCCTGAACCTTTTATCTTCTTTGACTTGCCAACATTACACTGACCAAATTCTTTTATTTGTCTAAGTACTCCTGTCCACTGGCTCATTCTCCCACCTCTCATTTCCTGGTCAATTTGAATGTGCCCTAAGATTCTGTGCTCACTCCTGTTTTCTTCTCTGTGCATCTCTTTTCTTCAGATTCCTCATTTCTCAAAACTTAACTCATTTCCATTTGACTGACTCCCCTTAGTAAGTATACAATAAGCAATACATATATAAAGAACTGAGAGCCTCCATGAAGCTCTACTAGTTCAGTGAGGAATGAACATTTTCCAAACCACTTCTGTTAGCAGATAGATGAATTTACAGGAAGAGGTAGACAAAACTTCTTCTACCCACTCCTTCTTTTATCAAGTAATATCTTTAAAGAAGTGGTTAAGCAGGGAGGGATGCCTTTCATTTTGTTTACCTTTATTTCTCTTTCCAACATCATTAAAAATAAAAGGATACATCATATATATATATCAACAACTCAAAAGCAGAATTTTTGAAAACCTTAAGCTTGTGTAATTATTTTAAAAAGAAAAAAAAATCCAAAATGATTAACATAAAAATGAACTCACCAATAATGCCACTATCTCTGCTTTCAAGGGTAGAGGTTGGACTAGTAACAGCCCCATAGCTGCAATCCTTGGCAGTTGCATTTGTACTGACTGGCGGGAGGGTGGAACAGGGGCTGCTGGCTGGTGGAGACGCAGTGCTACTTGTCAGGGTGGAACAGGGACTTATCCGTTGGGTGATTGCTGAGGTCTGAAAAATTGGAATGAAAAACAAACAAGATAAACTGATCAGCTGTTAAAGTAAAATGTATCTTATGGCAAAACATACGCTTTGATGAGAAAAAGAAGAAAAATCTTACATACATAGCTTTTACATCTATGAGGTACTAGTTATTTTTTGCCTTCTAGGATAAGATATTCTGCATTGTATAATTAAAGTGCAACTAGATACATTTAACACAAGCAGAGACTATGGCCAGTTTTTCTGCCTAAGAAATTTCTAGTGACAGGTATTCTTTATCACTGCCATGAATTCATAGAGGGATTTTTAAATTAAGCACAAATTGTCCTTGCTTTTTCCTATCAATAAAGCTATTCTGAAGGCACAGAACTTAGTCTTGTTAATACTTTTCTTCGGATGGAAAAAAAATATAAGTGCAGTCAAGAAAAAATAAAAGTAAGGTTTTTAATAAAAAAAAAAAAGCTTTTTTTTTTTTTTATATAGGTGGCTGCCCTGAGTTAGTAAGGGAACGCAGAGAAAAGCCTTATTCTAAAAGTCTATCAAACAACATTCATTTCAAATAGAACTAAATTTCTCTGTAGAAACTGATTAGACTGAGAGTGCTTTGTATCTTAAATGATTCTTATATCTGAGGCCATTTCAATGTTTTTGATGGGAAGGAACGAATAATCACCAAAAAGACTGGTGACAATATATTCTGGCTTACCTAATTTATTGACAAGCCACTTTTCTTTAGCTCTTGTCTACCTAAATAAACTGCTGAAGTAATAAACAAAAGCATGCATTTTTTCAAATACTAAAAAATTTTATCCTTTTCAAAATGTTAAGTGATCAGTGGCAAAACTACTTGAAGGAACACTGATGATAAATTTGACATCTTTTTTTTTTTAATTTTTATTTATTTATGATAGTCACACACACAGAGAGAGAGGCAGAGACACAGGCAGAGGGAGAGGCAGGCTCCATGCACCGGGAGCCCGATGTGGGATTTGATCCCGGGTCTCCAGGATCGCGCCCTGGGCCAAAGGCAGGCGCCAAACCACTGCGCCACCCAGGGATCCCCAATTTGACATCTTTAAATGCTAAATTTAAAAGAAATTTTTCAACTTCTTCACTTATGGAGTCAGTATTTACATTCCTTCCACTAAAATTGAAGATTTACAATTAACTTGACTGGAAAATGTGTTAATCACTAGATATGATAATATTAAGGCTCTTTTACTTATCCTAAAATGAGTTTCAAATACAATCCCTTGTATTTAATCACATGTGTTGAATTCAGGTTCTGATTTTAATTTAAATGCTATAACTAGGTCATAAAAGATCCATTCAATTTAAAGTACAAGTGACACTTTCAGAACCTTGCAACCAAGCAAATCTTTTCAACAATATTAATAATATCAGGAACTGATTTTTGTTAGTCATACCATAAGCCCTCAGATCTATGTCATTTCTCTTCTACTATGTAATTTTTCTCCAGAGGGGGAAAGAGTTTCAATTTCTTTGTAATGTCCTCTATTTTTATAAAATGGTGTTGGCTTACCAGAGCAATGAGTTTTAACTGGGCATGCAGCAGAATCACCTGTAGAATGTAAAAAGTAAGCTCCCCAATGAAATTGACAGTTACAGAGCCCCACACCCCAGACTTACTGAATTAGAATTCTCCCTAGTTAGAATCTAACATGGCAATTTTTAACCTCCTCACTCTCAGTTTAAAAAATATGTGGGTAGATGAAACGAACTATACTAGGGTTTGTTGGTTTTTTTTTTTACGTTGAATATATCTATAGTCATTCTATATTGAAAAAGTTCCATTTTGGTATGAATCTATTACTTCCACAGCAACTTATTTCCATTTTTAGACAAGATTCTCAGTCTGTTCTTTGAGAAAGGAAACTGTATTATATACATAATACAGCCACTGTTGAGGTTAAGCCTAAACAACACTTAACTACTTTTACTACAAGTTGTTTTCTATAAAATAAAGCTTGTATCACAGAATGTATGCTTTAAAAGCTTTAACTGTTAAAAAAAAAAAGCTTTAACTGTGAAAGCAAAGCTTAAAGATTAAACCATTTAGAAAGTAGATATTTGTTCATGAGTTATGAATTAAAAAGTAGGTTTCATATTTATTTAAAGAGGCTAGTTAATGATATAGAAATCTTTTCTAGGCACAGAAAGACAACCTTAACTGTTCTCCATGCTTTAAGCTAAAATGGACATCTAAGTAAACTCCACTCATAAAACCTTTCAGTGGTTTTTTCATTGTGTTCTCTGGAAGGATCACAAACTCCCAGTCTGGTTTCTTAAAGGTTCTACAAATGTACAAGGTAAAAACTTGATGCAAGAAATTCCTAAACTACATCCTACTACTCCAGAAACTACTAAGTGAAGGAAATACAGTGGTTGACTATCACTTTCAGTACTTTGTCTTTTGCAAAAAATGATACACACTGACTTGCCTGTGCTGGATTCTGTCCTTTCTAGTATAATTCTGAGGATGCCATTACTATTCAGGCCTTCCTAAACAAAGCAATCTATCTTTGTTAGCATGCTGTTTAGCTCGGAGGAAAGTCACCAAATGAACATGACCTCCTAATTTTTAATAACCTTCCTATGACCAGAAATTCCAATGATCAATTTAGTCACTTCCTCCTGTGGCTCCAAGATAGTTTCATGGTATATTATATTCCAAGAAGGCTATCATGTTAATATTTTAATCTGTTCAATGCTTTACAGTTTAAAAGATTTAATATACTATTTCATTTATTCCTTATCAACGAAGTATAAGGCAAAATGAGTATTATTTCCCTTGTTAAGAAATGTGAATATGAAAACTGCCCTAAAGAATGAAACTTATAATTTCCTCAATCATAGTTCCTGCCTATATTCATACACTAATTATACTGCATAGTATTTTATATCTTTTGTTTATATAGCATTTTATAGCTTACAAAGTAATTTCATATTCATCCTTTAATTTGATCCACACAACAATCCTGTCAGGTATTATTACTTCATATTACACTGGAACAGTATGGTGTAGTTGTAAAGAATAGAGGTTGTAAAAAGCAGACTGTATTTGAATATTATTCCATCATTTTGTGGCAGTGTGTTTCCACATTTTTATCTGAAATGTGGAATATCAGTGGACCTTACCACATTGAGTTGTAAGGAAGCTTACACAAAATAGTGAAAATAAAGCAACTAGTACAATGATTAGCATGTTAGTAAATGCATTTAAATGTCAGCTGTTATTACCTATGAAAAACCTAAAGTTCAAAAAGGTTAAGTGACATGTCTGAATTTAAAAAATCATAGATGGTAGAGTTGGAATCAGGACACAGATTTCCTATTTCCAGGTTCAGGGGCTTTTCTTTTTTCTTTCTTTCTTTTTTTAATTGAAGTATAGTTGACACACAATGTCATATAGCTTCAGATGTATAACAGTGATTCCAACAAGTTTATGTTATGCTATGCTCACCACAAATGTGAGTTTTCTATTATTAGAAACAAGAGGATCCTTGGTAAATACTCATACTGTAGCATCACATTCCTTGGTCATTATTAGAACAGTCACATTTTAACTTTACATATATACCAAGAAAGAAGTAATAAATAAAATAAAAATGGATATTTTACTTATAACAATATCAAAAAAGCCCTTAATATATATCATTCCCATTTTTTATTCACAGGGCATAGCATACCAACACTATTACAATATAAACTGTATAGAGGGCCTGGGTGTCTCAGTTGGCTAAGTGTCTGCCTTCAGCTCAGGTCATGATCCTAGGATCCTGGGATCGAGCCCACCATCAGGCTCCCTGCTCAGCAAGGAGACTGCTTTTCTCTCTACCTCTCCCTGTGCTCCTAGCCCCCACTTGTGCTCTCTCAGACTCTCGCTCTCTGTCTCAAATAAATAAAGTCTTAAAAAAGAGTTATAATATAAACTGATTAACAAAACCATCAATCCCTACCATCATGAACCTTACACTCTTGTATGATACAGACAATAAAACAAAATAAAACAAAACAAAAACCCACAACTAAATATGGAAGATAATATAGTCATGATTAAGAACTCAAAAGAAAATAAAGTAGTAGGATAAGGGGGTATTGTGATGGGCAGGTGCTACCAAAAAATAGTTAAGGAAGGCTTGCCTGAAGAGGTAACATCTGAGCAGAGCACTGAATGAAATGAGCAAGTGAGTTATGGGGGAAACACTTTCCAGTATTAAGGGAATGCTCTGTGTCAGAGGAATGACAGGAAGGCCAGTGTTGTTGCCTGAAAGGGAGAAGGGATAGGCAGTGTAGGAAAGGTAAAAGCAAGGGGTCAGATCAGGTTGTGCCCTTCTGACCATGCTGAAGATTTTAGATTTAATTCTAAACGTGATGGGAAAACAGGGGAAGATTGAGAGCCCAGAAGGAAAAGGATCAGATTCATATTTTACAAGGATCACTGTGGCTCTTATGTGAACAGACTATAGGGGAGCAAGAGTGGAAGCAGAGACATATTAGGAGGCTGTTTATTCATTTTCATTCAGTAAATATTTACTGAGCAGACAAAGCCTACATGATTTGCTGAAAGAAGTGAGTGTGTAATATGACAGAAAACACTCAAGAATGGTTCCAATGCTTTTGTCCTAAGCGTATAGGTAATAGAACCTACTCAGATAGAAAACACTGCAGAAGGAGCAGGTTCTGGGAAAAACTCTAAGAGTTCAGTTTTTGACATTTTAAGTTTGAGCTGTATCTTGGACACACAGGTAGAAAAGGGAGTACAGGTGGCTAGAAATACACAGGAGTTAAGGGGAAAGGCAGGGTTAGAGTAATTCAGGAGTTAAGAGAGAATTAAAAAAAAGAATGGAGGAATTTCAGTATGATTAGACTCTCCAGGCATCTGAATTTTATAAAAACTGCCCAGGTGATTATAATGTGCAGCCAGCAAAACCAATGACTGAGGGAATGAGGACATAAACAGAGAAGTGAGGAGAGAGCTCCGGAACACCTGAATATATGATCTATAAATATATCTGAATAATCCTTGATGACTATGATTTTATGACAAAACATATGACATAGACTCTTCACAAATATTTGTTAAGAATATATAAGATGAAATCAATTTGTCATCTTGTAGAATAAAACGATTCACTACAGGACATACATTTTAAAAATTAAGACCACACAAATGAATCTGAGTCTACTTCCTTTGGTACATTTAAACTAAATAATAGTCAAAAGAAAAAAAAATCTATGAAATAATTTTTTTTTTCAAATTGCTGATACTTTTTAACTTTCTGACATGAATATTTGGATTCTTAATTTTTCAGATTTTCACTTTCTAATATATATAATTCAAAACTAAAATTTTTGAGCACATCTTTAACAAGTTTTATATACTACAAATATGTAGTTATATTTTGTTATTATTTTGTTATATTTTGTTATTATTTCAGTTTAAAATATTTTCTAATTTCTTGTGATTTCTTCTTTGACTGAAGTGCTATTTCAAAGTGTATTAATAGTCAAACGTTTAGGGGATTTTCTAAATTATCTTTTAGCTACCATCTTCAAGGTTATTATTTTGTAATTGATTAATTCTACTATTATCACAGCAACTGTAATCCAAAATTTGCTGAGACCTGCTCAGCATATTGTCAGTTTGGTAAATAATCCATTTGTACCTGAAAATGAAGTGTATTCTACATAATTTCTGGATGTAGTGTTCATATTAAAATGTCAATTGTTTCTTGGCTTTACACTTATTTATTTCCTCATTCACTCCATAAATGAATCAAACCTTTAAAGTGGCTTTTTGAATCTAAGACTGAAACTAAAAAATGTTTCATAAACTAAAGAAATACAGAGATTATGGAAAATTAAGCTATATCTTTAGGGCTCAAAGTCATTCAACAATTGGGAAACACACCTACACACAACCTGCAACATTTTTCCTGGTGTAATAGGCTGATTTATTCCATGTTTCACAGGTACCAGCATGCAGTTTACCTGATTTTCATCCTGTACTTCCATGTTGTATTGGTCACCTGGCTGAACTTCCGTGACTTTCTCTCCAAGGAGGAAACCCAGACGAGTCATGAGTGTGTTTGCTGCCTCATCTACAGATGGAGGGGGACCAAGTTCCTGTTCAGCATCACCTATAACAGGCAGACATTGAAACACATGAATCTTTCAAAACAAAATGGCTTCATTCTGCAACTATTCTTACATTCAATTTGGTCATTCCCTTTGTTTTCATTTTAAATCCAAAATTACAAGGTCCCTGCCTAGACACTGATTTTCCCACTTTGGCATAGTGTAACTGATATATTTTCTCGGATTATCCTTAATGTATCTACTTAAAACCTGGTTTGATAGACTGTTTGTAATTTACTGAATAGAAGTTTCCAATTTTTTGGCAGTTAGGCTTCCAATTCAGTCCTAGTCTTGGGATCTAGTTCCTGCCACAATCCCCACCTTTATTCAGGTTCTTTTCTTTTCTTTTTCTTTCCTCTTACAGTTTATGTAATCTTTTTTTTCAAAAGATTTTGAAATCAGTTCAAGCTTATAAGAAAGTTTCAATAATACAAAAAATATTTTTTTCTTAACCATTTGAAGGTATAGACATGTCCTGTTATCCCTAGTTAGTATGTATGTCCTGCAAGTGCCATATTTATATATTATATTTATAATGCTGTGTTAACTTTGCTCACTTGGTTAAGGTAGTGTTTGCTAGATGTTGCCACTCCAAAATTATATTTTTCTCTTTGTAATGAATAAGTATTTTGGGGGGGACATTTTGCATCCATGCAAATACATCTCACTTCTCAATAAATTTTTAAATTAAAAAATATTTTTGCAGTAAAATATACTTACCAAGATTTTCCATTTTAACTAATCTTACATGTACAGTTCAGTGGCATTAAGTTCATTCACAGTGTTGTACAGCCACTGCCACCGTCCATTTCTAGAATTTTTCATCCTCCCTCAAAGAAACAGCACCATTAAATAAAAACTCCCCATTCCATCCTTACTAGTCCCCCAGCTAACCTCTATCCCACTTCCTGTCTCTATGAATTTGCCTATTCTCAGTACCACATAAGTGGAACCACACAATATTTGTCCTTTTATGTCTTGCTTATCTGAATTTGCATGTTTTCAAGGATCATCCATGTTGTAGCATGTATCAGAACTTCACTCCTTTTTATTAATAAATAATATTCCACTGTATGTATACTACCATAGGTTATTCAACTGATGTTGGACATCTGGGGTTGTTTCCATCTGTTAGGTATTATTAATAATGATAGTATGAACACTGGTGTAAAAGTATCAGTCTGAATCTTTCAATGAACTTTTTGCCCACTATTTTTTAGCATTCACTAATGTTTCTTGGTTAAATTAATTACTACCATGCTTGTCATGTAGTGATTTTTCTAAACCCATTATTCTTTCTACAGTTTAGTTTCTTTTCCTTACCTATTTATCTGAACCAAACAATTCCTATCTACTAATAAGCTATAATCTGTTACTCTCATTATTTGTTTTGTTGCTCCAATTAATTGTCCCAGATTTGGACAGGGGAAGCCCTTTGAATTTGGCTCTTGTAACCTTTAACAAATCCGTGTCATTTTCTGAGCATTATTTTTCTTTCTGGTACAAGATGTTCCAAGCTCATTTTTTACCTTCCCTGTCCTAGCTCTAGAATCAGATGCTTTTCCAAGAAGCCCTGGTTCTTTTTGGTGGAGAAAGGCATATAGAATATCAGGTATACTCATGGCAATTAGGATGCCACCATCCTCCAGATCCACTTGGACAGATATAGGCAGTATAATCATGCACATACATACATACATGTATATATATGTATATTCACACATCTTTATATTCATTTTCACTTATAAATCTGTACATAAATACACTCCCCAAAAGTTCCTGGTGATGCTCAAATTCCAATTCAATTCATAAGGTAAATTCTAGGGGTTTTTTTTCCTCTGAAGTTTTTTTTCCGAAGTTGTAAATTTGCACTCCAATAGTGAGAAATCTGGCTCTCAATGTCCTTGCTTAATCTGTTCCCCCTTCACATACAAATGTCACTGCTGTTCATTGCTGCCCTGCTCTACTCTCCCTCATTGGAATCCTATCTCATGCCACAGGAACTGGACTAGCACTTTCCCCACAGTCAGGGTTATTTTATTTTATTTTTAAGAGAGGGAGAGAGAGTGCACGGGTGTGAGTTGGGGGAGAGGCAGAAGGAGAGAATCTCAAGCAGTATCCCTGCTGAGCTTGGAGCCTGATGCAGGGCTAGATCCCAGGACCCATGAGATCATGACCTGAGCTGAAATGATGAGTCAGACACTTAAACCTGAGCCATCCAGGCCCCCCATGGTCATTTTTTTTATTTGCTATATAATTCATATACCATAAACTCTATCCTCTTAAAAATGTATAATTCCATGGCTTTTAGTATATTCATAAGGTTATACAACCACCCTCACTTTTTTTTTTTAAGATTTTATTTATTTATTTGACAGAGAGAGTGCCAGAGAATACAAGCAGGGGGAATGGCAGAGGGAAAGAGAGAGAAGCAGGCTCTTCGCCAAGCAGGGAGCCGGAAGCAGGGCTTGATCCCAGGACTCCAGGATCAGGACCTGAGCCAAAGGCAGACACTTAACCGAATGAGCCACCCAGGTGTACTCCACCATCACTTTCTAATACTAGAATATTTTAAAAACCCCAAAAAGAAACCCCATTAAGGTTCATTTTTGCTGAAATTTAGACCCCTCTCCCCCAAATGCCTGATCACTGGTATTCATTTTAATACTCTGCTTCCAGACTGCTACATTCTTTCCATATAATTTGCTTTTGAGGTTCTCTATTTAGGCTATTTTTCAATGGTTACCAACTATAGGAATTACTCTTTTAAAACCTTTTGACTGAGGGATGCTAAACAAAGTCAGTATGAGGTTTTTACTTGGACTCACCCTCAAGAGAAACTTATTTCCAAGTAGAGAATTTATAATCATTTTTTGGCCCTTTGGCTAAGATAAATACAAATAGAGAATTTACAGAAATCATACAAAAAGGAGCCAGGGAATGCAAGATGATCTACTCTAAATGTGATGTATAAATAATTTATTTAAACTATCTGCTTAAACTAACTTGATTCATGGTCAACATTTTTTCAGATTTTGTTAGTCTGACTTTATAACAATCTAGGTAGCACAGATCCCATAGGACATTACAAAAATCTTTTTTTTTTTTCTCAGTGAGACATATCCTTTCAATGCAGCAAACATTAGCTATAATGTCATCTGGTTCAATGCCAAAATATAACAGTTTCTTAATTTTTTAGAATATTCAGTCTTATACATTAAACCACTCCATATGGCAAGAAAGTATGATTTACATGGTTATTATCCAGTTTATATTTATCTTAGCTTCTCTACTAAAGTTATAAGCTGGGGTCAGAGGAATGGATTATATGTGTATTTTTATATATTATTATTGAACTCAAGTGTTCTATCTGTGGAAAATCTATATAGAACTTTCACTGAATTTATGTTGGAGTTGAAAAATAGGCTCTATTTTCTCTTCCCTACTTCCTTTCTAAGTCAACAAAAATAGATTTCTTGCCATAGAACAGATATAATAGAATCGGTGTTATTTTTATTTACAAATATTTAAGTTTATATAGTTCGTGCTGCCCTCCTGCCCTCCCCAAGAATGAAAGCTTCTTATTCCTTGATAAAATAAAAAGGTAACTGCTACATTCAAACTGATGAATTACCCTTTCCCTTTCTAAAGATTAAACTAGCTAAGCTTTTCCAAATTCTTCCTGACCTCTATATATTCTGGGGCTCCATTTTGTTTTTTTCTAAGAAGGTATTCTGATAATTATCAAATATTTTCTATGTACACATTAACACGAGGTACCATGAGGATTTATATAATATGAAGGATGTATAGTCATTGACTTATAAAGTTTATAATCTATATGGAAAATAAGACAGATTATATGATTAATTTAACATGGTATTTATTGTATACAAATCACTGAACACTTTTACAAATATTAACTTATTCAGTCTCTATAACAACTTTATGAAATAGGTATTGCTATCCTCATTTTACAGATGAGAAAATTTAGGCACAGAGAAATTAAGTCACCTCATATCCCACAAGCAATAGCAGAGCCATGTTTACAACCCAGGCTCCCTGACTCCAGAATCAATGCTCCCAACTAGTATGTTATATGGCTCCCTCACTGGAAAGTAATATTATAAATAGGTCTAAATAAAAGACAACTTCTTATAAGCCATTGTTTATATATAATATTGTGATATAACAAATACATATTTGTTCCTTGTTCCCAGTTGTTGGAACTAAGCTCCTAAACTATTCGAATTGGCTGAGTGACAGTAGTCAGAGAAGCATCTTTTCTTTTCCATATGTCCTTCTGTGGTGACTTGTAGTGGGTCATTAAACAGCTGCAGGATGGAGGCTAGTTGCCAGAGGAACCAACCATGTGGTTATAGGGTTAGAACTTTCAACGCCCACTCTCCCAACCTACAGGGAGGGGAAAGGGGCTGAAGACTGAGTAAATCGATCATGGTCAATGATTAATCAATCATGTCTACATAATGGACATGTTTAATATTTTCATGGATATGAGGTTTGGAGAGCTTCTAGGTTGATGAACATATCCACATACTGGGAGGATGGTGCATCTAAATTCCACAAGTACCCAAATCTCTGTGCTCAAGACTTTTCTGGACCTCCCCTTACATACCTCTTTATCTAAATGTTCATTTATATCATTAAAGATATCCCTTATAAGGGTTCCCTGGGTGACTCAGTTGGTTTAGCGTCTGACTCTTGACCTCAGCTCAAGTCTTGATCTCAAGGTCATGAGTTCAAGCCCCATGTTGGGCTCCATGCTAGGCATGGAGCTTACTTAAAAAAAAAGAAAGAAAAGAAAAGAAAAGAAAAGAAAAGAAAAGAAAAGAAAAGAAAAGAAATCTCTTTGATAAACTGGTAATACTGAAGTGCTTTCCTGAGTCCTGTAAGCCATTTTGTGATTTTTGAGAATATCATACATAAAAAATTATATAGTATGCAATCTTTTGAGATTGGCTTTTAAATAATTCAGCATAAT